GAAACCCCCACGGAGCACAGGTCCACTTTGACACACCCGGGAGGGGGGTGTCACCAGGTTTCAGAATCAATTCGATTAGCAATGAGCACCGGAAATTAAGCATAATGATAGCTGATGGTTAGAGCCCCATGTTACACGACCAAGCTGCAACAATGAACCTGTTCATCCCCTCAACAATCTTAGGAGTTAGATCTGGTGATTATCCCCATTCCACGATGAGGAAACAGACAGAGAAAAGTGGCTCGCTGCAAGTCACACAGCCACGAAGCAACAGAGTGGACACATGAGCTGACACAGGATTTGGGGGAGCAGAGAGGGAACCCCCACGTCCACCTCCTCAGCTCGGCTGGAACTTCCTGCAGGGGAAGGCTTCCACCTTGCCCAGTGCCGCCCAAGCCCTGCGTCTCGGGTGTTCCCCAGATGGCCAGCAGGGGGCAGCAGAGAGCGCCGCAGGGTTGCTACGGAGACCCGCTGAGCGGTCGCTTCTCTGGCTTGTGGCACAGCGAGAAAATGCGGGTGATGTGATCCTCTGCCAAGGCGGCCATGAGGATTAACATACTCACATACGCAATAGAAAGGAGCCTTAGAAATGGTGACTCGTGAAGACACAGATTGAAAGGCCCGGAGGCTTGGGTGTGAATCCTGACTCCACTTCCTGGTGTGCAACTCCACTCCCTGGTGTGCAACTGCTGTGCCTCAGTTTCTCTTTTGTAAAATGGGGATGAGACTAGAACCCGCCCCATGGGATCATTGCTAAAAAACCAAAAATCGAACCAATGCCATTAAGTTGATCCTGATCCACTGTGAATCTTTACAGAAGCCCAAACTAAATCCACTGTCCTAGAGTCAATCCTGACTCACAGCGCCCCTAGAGGGCACAATGGAACTGCCCCATAGGGTCTCCAAGGCTGTCAATCTTCACAGAAGCAAAGCCCAAACCACACCCACTGCCCTGGAGTCCATTCTGACTCACAGCCCCCTAGAGGACAGAGTGCAACTGCCCCACAGGGTTTCCAAAGCTGTCAGTCTATGGAAGCTGACTGCCTCATCTTTGTTCCCCAGAGTGGCTGGTGGGAACCACTGACCTTTTGATTAGAGGCCAGGCCCTTAACCACTGTGCCACCAGCGCTTCTAGGGGTTAGAGGCAGGATTAACTAGGTAAAGATGTGTCAAGTATGTTGTAAAGTCATTTAAATGCTAAATGTTTCTGATGTTATCTATGGGAGTGGTGGTGGTATTGTTGCCAGATTCACCCGCCGCATCCCCTCGCTTCTGCTTCTTACCAGCCAACTCTGCCCACGCTGGTTTCTTCTCTCAGCCTCGGAACCCTGTTTCCCCCCAAGCCCCGAGGGTTCAGGATCCCAGCCAGTGCCAGGCAAGAGTCTGAGGCGGACAGGCAGGGCCTTGGAGGAAACCCTTAATCCTTACGGAAGGGCAAACTGAAGCCCAGGGCAGGGGTGGGACCACCCCAGACCATCTGATGAACTCCACCTGGTCTGGTGCTGCCTCCAGAGAGAGACGGGAAGGGGGCGGAGCGAGAGGCCACCAGAGGCAGGGACTTTCTGAGATGCCGACAAGGAGTGGAGGAGGACAGGCAGATGGAGACAGAGGGGACAGAGGCGTGGAGAAACTAAGGGTGGGGCTAAGGTGGGGACAGGGCCGACGGTCAGAGGTACGGTACCTGCGGGCCGGGCGTCGGGGGCCCGGGCGGGGGGCCCCGGGGTCTCCAGCGCAGGCGAGACGGAGAAGCGGGAGAAGCACAGGGGGGGGCCTGGCGGGGGGAGGAGGGGGAAATCCTCCGCCCACTCGAAACTGCCTCCTATTAGGGGAGGAGAAGAAGGCGTGGTCAGACCCCAACTTCCGCTCCCTCCTTCAGACCCCGCCCACCTAGCGTCCCACCTCCTCAGGCCACGCCCTCAAGTCAGCCACGCCCCTCACCAAAGCCGCTGTCGTTGCTGGGAAATCCATCTCCGGGGGTGCTGGGGTGGGGAGGCGTCGGGGGCGCTGGGGGCGTTGACGGGTCCGTGTCCCCCTCGGGGGGCCCCTGAACGCTCAACTCGTTGGTTGGCGTCTCCTGAGAAAGCAGATCAGGGGAGGCGAGAAAGGGCTGTTGGCCATATCTCACCCACCACGATTAGAAGCCCTTTTCTGCCTCTAAAGATGGAGTCAGCCATAACCCCCGCGCAGCCCGAGCCTCCGCCCCCGACCTGAGCGCGCCGCCGGCAGGATTCTCTCTTGCTACCAACGCGCTGCCTCTGCAAGCTCCCTGAGCCTGTGTGTCTTCCTGAATCCTATCTACCTGTGAGATCTGACCCAGGTCTCATTCCTCACATGCCCTCAATCCAGTAGGCCCCGCCCCAGATTCCCCTAGCCACGCCTCCAGCCCACAAGCACCTCCCCCGCCCTCCCTTTTTTCCTTCAACACTGTTCCCACACCTCTCCAGCTCCAGCTCCACCTACTCACACAACTCTTACTCCACTCTCGACACCTGGCCCCAGTTCACTAGCTGCGCCTATCTCTGGCCCTGCCCTAGAGTATTTTAATACTACCTGCCCCATCTCATCCCAGCTCTGGTGGGCTAGTGCCTAAGGCATTCAACTACAAACCAGAAGGTTAGTGGTGCAAACCCACCAGCCGCTCCGAGGGAGACACACTGGGCAATCCACTTCCCTAAATATTTACCGCCTCAGAAACCCAAGGGGGTTGCTACGAGTCTGAATCAAGTTGATAGCAGTTTTTTTTTTTTTTTTGCCCCATGTCATAGCCACACCTGCAGCCCCTCCATGGCCCGCCCCTAGAGGATAAGATCCATCTTAACCAGCTCCATAGGAGCTCTGTAACATAGTGCCTCAGGCACTTGACTGCTAACCAGAAGGCTGGTGGTTCAAACCCACCAGCCACTCCTCAGAAGGAAGGTTGGGCAATCTACTTCCGTAGTGATACTGCCTCGGAAACCCAAGGAGGGGTCGCTATGAGTCGGGGCCGACCAGACGGCAAATAACAACAACAACAACCAGCTCCATAAATCTTTCTAGAGCCTTGTCCAACATGACTCTTCCCAAACCTCACAGGCTCCGCCCCCATTCAAGCCACGCCCTAGTCGTATCAAGCTCCCTCCACTTTTCCAGGCCTCATTCTCTCGGTAAGTCCTCGCCCTCCATCCTCTACCCCACTCAAGCTTCACCCCGCCCTCTGGCCTCGCTCTTCCCAGGGATCCTTCAACCAAATCACGTTCCTGCGCTTCCGTTACCCCACGTGCTGCCCTCACCCTCCAGGAGCCTCCCAAGTCAAGTCCCCGCCTCTTCCCAAGGTTCGCCGTAACCTCATTGGTTTTCAGACCCCGCCCCCATACTAAGAGCCTCAGCTTGTCCTACCAATCCCGCCCCATTCCCTAGCCTGTCTCTCCTAAGCCCCGCCCATTCCCTCCAGGCCTGCTCCCCTGTTTGGCTCGACCTTCTTCCCTGCCCGGCCTCTCCAAGCCTCCGCCTCCACGCTGGGTTCAGCCTTCCTCCAGACCCCGCTCCTCCAAGGCTCCGCCCCCGGCTCGGCCTTCCTCCCGGACCCGCCCCACGCTGGGGTCGGCCTTCCTCCCAGCCCTGTCTCCCCCAGGCTCCGCCCCCTCCATGAGTTCGGCGATCCTCCAGACCCCGCCCCACGCTGGGCTCGGCCTTTCTCCTGGCCCTGCTTCCCCCAGGCTCCACCCCGAAGCTGGGTTCAGCCTTCCTCCCGGCCCCGCCCCCTACAAGGCCCCGTCCCACGCTGGACTCGGCCCTCCTCCCGGCCACGCCCCCCGCTTGACTCCGCCCTCCTCTCGTCCCTGCCTCCCGCAGGCTCCGCCCCTCACCTGGTTCAGCCCTCCTCCAGACCCCGCCCCCCGCAGCGCTGCTCTTCCCTCCTGGCCGCCCCCCACCCCCGGCAGCTCACCTGGTCGAAGAGGTAGACGGTCACGTCCCCGTGGAAGGAGACCATCTTGCGCTTCCTCTCCAGCTCGCTGTCCTCGGGCTCGTCGGCCCCGCGCGGCGACTTGAGCAGCCCCCGCAGCGGGCGGGCCGCGTCCGCGTCGGCGCTGCTCACCACGACGGGCACCGGGGCTGCCCGCGCCCTCC